TGTGTGAATAACTGAACCAGGAGGGAGGGGGGCATAGTGCTTCACATGTTGCCTGTTATTCAGGCAGCTCCCATTGGCCAGTTTCTAGCCAAAAAACAGCCAATAGGATTGTGCTGGGGACAAGGCAGCACCTGTCCCTCCTCCCCCCTTCCCTTCCGGGATCACAGTTTTGAAAGAGAAACAGCTCCACAGCTACTTTTCTGAGTGGTGTGCGAGGCTGCAGGGCAAGCAGGGGAGCCTGCCTGGGGCTCTCCGCTGCATCCGTGGGCAGGATCCAGCCTGCGGGCTGTATTTTGCCCAGGCCTGCACTAAGATTACTATGATTCTTCCTCTTTATCCCCACTCATCCTTACCAACAACAATAGGTTCCAGGCACTACCAGTGTTCCCTCTATCTTCCATCCATGAGCAGAGTGAGTTTTATCTTGTGCACCAATATTGAGGTCATGTGAGCTTGTTCAGATGTGTGCCACTCACCAGTGATACTATTCCCCGAGAGACTCTCCCAGCACAGAGACCCCAGCACAGCCCCCCACTTGCTGGGATCTTCTCCCAGGCAGCATCCACCCCACCTTGTGGGGAGAAGGTGAGACCTGCCCCTCCATGGAGTGCTGCTCCCATGGCAGCTTGCGTGCATGGCAGGGGCTGCCCCAGACTCCTCTCCATGTGGCTGGCTGCAAGTCCTTGCCCGGGATGGAAGGAAGCTGCTGCCAGCACTCAGGGTTTGCAGGGTGTGGGGTAGCAACATGTGGGGCACCAGTAAGAGGCTGAAGGGGGCAGAGGGAGGAAGAGAGATGCAGGAAGTCCCAATCCCACCCGCACCGCAGCCTGGCCCCAGCTCTGATGGCCGCCCACCATGTAGCCCCAACTGAGCAGCTACCATGCAGTTCTGGCCCACACTCTCCCACCACCAGCTTACCTTCCACATTCAAGGAAGGTGAGGGCTGCTGCATGGCTCTGCTGAAGTGGGAAGGATTAACATTTTTTGTGCATGTCCATGAAGGCACACACCCTAGAGGGAATTTAGGGCACTACCGTGGATATGAAAGCCTATCTGCTGGTACAGAAACACCACAGAATAACTTTTGACTGTTGACACTAGGGATGTTAAATATCAGTTAACTGAATAGTCGTTTAACCTCATGAACTCTTATCAGTTAATCAACATTGTCGGGGGGAGGGGTCTAAGCTCCCGGATTTGGCACAAGCCGGAACTAAGCCGGGCTGCCTGCCCGCCTGGCTCCTAATACACTTTAAATGCAGAGTTGCAGTGGGTGTAGGTCCAGGACCCAGAGCAATCCAGGACTGAGCTGGGCTGCTAACCAGCCTGCTAAAAAAAATGTACTGGCAAGAGGTGGGGGGCAAATGTGTGTAGTCTAATCAATAAGCAAAAGCTTATAGGTTAATGCTATAATTGACTACACTATTGCATCCCTAGTTGACACCAGACCAAATTCATCTTCAGAAACTCAAGAGTCAAAAATCAGTGGCCATCTAAACTCATTTTCTCTTAAAAGTGTTTCAGTACCTTTGTCCTATTTTCTTCCCTTCAATCAGTACAATTGTTATAGACAATTCCTTCTACAAAAAAAGTCACCTGAAATCTTGTGCTGCCTCTGGTTCTTACCTATTCTGCAATATTCCATAGCAGTCACAGAAAACACCCACAGTGCACTTCACCAAAATCAGTAAATTTAAAGGAGAACAATGACATCTAGTGACTGAAATTAAAATTTGCTTTACAGTTTCCAGCTCAGCAATTAAACATTGCAAGCACATAAAGTTATCAATGTTGGCTTAACTCCACCCAGAAACTTAAATTGGAAGAGGCCATCACTGATCTTTACTACAGTTTCCATCTGTTCTCTGGCTTTCTTCACTTTTCCACACTCATATACATGAAACCTATTATGGAGGGGATGTGGGGTAGGTAAGGGGACTTGTTTTAGGCTTGGTCTGCATGAGAAAATTTCAGTACAACTTAAGTTGTGATTCTAAATTAATGTAGTTATGTCAGTATCACCCTTGTGTAGGTGGACCTACTCTGGTCTGAGTGACCCTTTTTCAATTTAGCTTCAACTCCTTCCTGAGTAACAAACTGAACTGACAAAATGCACCTTGCATTCCAGATTAAGATGGTCATCACAAGGGGTTAAACCAGTGTAACCATCAGTACAAATAGGAAAACCTTCCCATATAGACGAGGCCTAGGAGAAGAGTGGTACAAAACTCTGCCTTGGGACTCTATGTAAAATTCATTCCAGAGAACGGTATGGGTGGCCCATGCAAAAACCTTGTGAACAAGGACACTGCACTACAGAGAAGGAGTTTAGCAAACTTACTCCAATCTGGAAGTCTGTCATCTGCACTGACATGACAGGAGACAGGAAATCACTTTCAGAATAGCAGAAAACAAGTTCTTAAGGCTGCTCCTCCGTATACTAGATACCATGTTTTATGCAGAAAAACAAAAATGTCAAAAAAAAATTCAGAAAGTTTAAAATGTCTTCAATTTTCAAATATATCTGGATAACATCTCAGTTATCAATTACACCCGTATTCTAGGATAGCCATGAAACTGAAATGTATAATTATGAAACACCTTAGAAGATGCTGTGAAGCTTAGAAGACACATTTCCACAGTAGTTAGAGTCCCAACATTATGGGACAATGCTGCAGTTCAAGCTGGCACTAGTAGAATGCTGCACTAAGGGTGATCAATGTGCTTTGAAACCCGCAAGTAGGAATAAGAAATCCTCCGGAAAAGGGCTTATTTTCCAGAGAATCACGTCTAGACTGGCGCTTTTCTCCGGCTTATCCCCAAGCCGGAAAAAAGCGGCAGCCATGTAAATGCAAATGCCGTGGGGGATATTTAAATCCCCCGCAGAATTTGCAATTCCGAAGTCTACATTAGCATCCCTTTTCCGGAAAGGGGTGCCAATGTAGACACAGCCAAAGACTTTAAAACAGTTATCCATTTAGATTTTGATTAAACAAAATAATGTAGCACTTGAGGAGCGACAGGATCAAGATTTTGCAAAAACAATCTCTTTAGAAGGAAATATAGGATGATTAATGCTTGTATTGTGCTCTGAAGTTTAAAAGTGCAAAGTATTAGGTATTGTGCCACAAAACCATTCAAGAGCTTTGAATGTAAGAGAAGTAACTGCCCTTTAATTCTTAAACTTGAAAGTGAGAGTGCTAGGAAAGGAATGAAGAGGAAAGCCTCCTGAGAAATTGAACAATTTGAAAATCACCCAGAGTGGATTAAAATTAATTTAGATTATGATTTTTTACTATGCAGTGGCAAAGCAGAGGAAAGTCCATCTCTATGTTTGAGCAGAACTAGTTTTGTTGTGTGTACATATTTGTGGATATCATTTTATTTGCTTGGGTATCTGCAGCCGATATCCATGGATCATTTTTGCAGATGTGGATACCAATTTTGTATCTGCGAATGGCTCTAACAATCTTCCGGCCAAGAAAAAAAAAAAAAAAAAAAACAGTTCCAGTCATATCAGGAAGGTTTTATGTAGAACATGGAAGACATCATATTCAGTAAGTGAGAAACGTGTGCCTTCACCACAAAAGCCGTCTGGTACACAGAGCAGCTTATTCAAGCCAAACAGCAAACCAGAGTTAACCAAAAGTAGAACTGGTAAGCCGTCAACAAACGCTATCAGTAGTTCTAGTAGTAAAAAGGTAATACTTCCAATAGCAACAGGTCTTTCTACTACATAAATGCAGCTCAGACAGTGTTCATCGGGGCCTCTTCCTGCCAGCCTAACATGACACTGACTACAGGCTATGCCTCAGTTAGGAAAAGCTCTGATCGGATTGGGGGAGCTCTATTGAAATCCTGTGCGGTTACTATGACCCCCAGTTAGCAAGGTCTTAAGAACAAAACATAATTTTATATTACACCAAGAACCAGTTCCACAGTCATAGCAGCTGTTGTGAATGGCTAGCAAGTCAGAGATGGGCTCAAGACAGGAACATAGAGCTTTATACAAGTCAGATTATTTTAAAATTTCTTTTTAACTGAAAGGACATGGATACCGACCACCACTTTAGAGAATGTGATTACTGCCAAACCTTATATTCAGCTTTATGATTTAGTCCCAGACAAGGCTTCTTGGCAAGTTTAGTTCCTTCACAAAGAATTACTAACAGTTCTGCGTGCCATATGCTACTTCTAACCTCTGCTACAGTGCTAGGGAAAAATCTCATCCTCCATCTCAAGTGTAACCATCTCCCTGTCAGGAACAGAAAAAAAGAAAAAAAATCTTCCAATGCTGAACAGCATCCAAGAAAACAAAAAACAAAAAGCCCCTGGAACGCTGACCTACAAGAGAATGCAAATAAGCCATGAAGGGAACAGTCAGATTGTTTGGCAGAAGGTGCCAAAATGTCTCAAGCATCTGCTTCAAGATGGTGGATGAAACGGTGTCACTGATCCATCCATGGAAGTGTTATGGTCAGTCCTTGAGGAAACGCTAAAGTTCCAGTCTAGTGTTCAATCACAGCTGTGACTAGGAATGGGAAATTCAAGTGCCCAGCCAGCAGTGCTATCTGTGAAGTACCGTTATATGCAGGGCTCGACAAACCACGGCGAGATCTACTCGCCAGCCCCGAACTGCGCATGCGCCAGACCAGCACTGCTCATGTGCGCAGTGCCAGTGAACGGGGCGACCGGCTGAAACCTACTCACCATGGGCGAGTAGATATAGCAATTTGTCGAGCCCTGGTTATATGTAATACTCAAATTACCATTAACAAGTACTGTATTTCAGTGGCACTGGAGCCAAATTGTGTACAATGTCCCAGTATGAGTATTCAGAATGGACTACAGAATAATGGCTAGAAATAAAACAAAGAGATCCTACACAAGATTCAACTGTATGGATCTGGACAAAAAACTTCTTGGAAAACTGGGGGAAAAGCCCACAACCCCAAAACACCAGACACAGGGATTAAGATACATATTTTAAGACACGGTACTGCTTAGGAATCATATTTTATGTTATTGTACAGACCTGTGCATTTGTGTAACATGACAAATGTTTGCTGACATACATGTAAATACAAATCTATTGTCTCCCTTTTACATTTCCGTCAGGAAGGCTGGCTAAACAATCTCATTAGGAAGCAAAACACAAACAACTCATAATCTGAAAGTGATTAATAGAAGCCTGTACCACCAAGCAATCCCCACTGCTTCTTCCCATTTCCCCAGACTTAATACTATAAAATGGGGAAGCAGTACAAGTAAATGAAATCATTTTTATGTTCCCAGTTCTTTCTGGGCAATGATGCACGCTTATCTTCATGCCAAAGGGTCTCATGAGAAGAGCTTCGAAAGGCCAACTCAAGCTCACCTTCAGACAGGAGCCAGCAGAAGGTCTGATACATTAGCTGAAATTAATCTTTCAATTCTTAGCAACTGTGACCATTTCTCTCATAGTCCTCCAGGACTAACTCATTGCTCTCCAGATAACAGTATCCAGTTGGTCTCTCTTTAGAGCTATATGGGATCCCTTTGTTTTCAGATTGCTGGAGGCTCATTCCTAATATACATGCTTCACAGGCAGTGTACATGACCTATAGCTCAAAGTTTTGCATTCATGTGCAGCTTCAAGCAATAACTGTGTGACCCTACAGCCAACTTTGTCTCTCCTCTTCATACTTTTGTGGGTCAATGAAAGGCTTGTCAATTGACCGGATCATCAACTCCCCACAATACACACATTCAGCCGCCACAATATCATCAATGTCTGCCTTGATCTGTTCCCTACTCTGCTGCCCTTTTCCCAAGCTAGCAGCATCTATGTCCTTGGGACGATGATGGGCTTTGGAGGGCTGGCTTGTGGCTCCCAGCTTCTTCTGAAGGTCTTCTAGCTTAGCCTGCTTCCAGGCAGGCAGGTTTGGAAAAACTGCCTGGAACAGGCAGTCATAATGGAACATGTGACCACAAAGAAAAAGGTAGAAAGGGCGATTTAGGAGCGGAAAGTCACAGGCTGCACACTTTTCCTGAGGCTCCACAGATCCGTATTTGTTTCTCATCTCCTGGATGTCCTCCCGAATTCTCTTGGCACTCTGCGTGGCTTCCTCCATCTCTCTTTTCAGCTCCTCAATGTGCTTGTTGTAGTCCTCCAGAGAGTTGCAGATAGCCTCTTTAAAGTGGTCAATGGTGACAAAGTCAGGGAAAAAGGGCAAGACATCTTCAATCTTCAGCAGGTTGCAGCTAGAAAGGCAGGCCATGGCTTTCTTTACATCCTTCTCTTCCTGGACTACATGACGAGCAATTTTCAACCAGAGCTTCTTCCGGAGTTCCTCATCCTCTTCAGGGAGGTCGGCACAGGACTTAGCCAAATCCACATCCACCTGAAAATTGAACAGAATAGGGACACAAAATTACAATTTCCTCTTCACTTCTCTCTCCATCATGAGAGCCCACTCTTGGTAAAGGAGAGATCTCCTACCAGTATCTTTCCATTATGTCAGTCATAACTACAGCTATGCAGCTGACATGCCCACTTGCATATCAGCCACATTTGTATATCAGCCACATTTTCTTCTCCACCAACATTCACTCCCAACACAAAGTGTGTGCACAGTAGTTCTGGGTCACTTCTAGGATTCATCATGATCCAGGAACAAAACAGGAAGATCTAGCTATCTAAAGCCACATGTGACCTTTGACCTCCAAGGCTGACAACATTGAATTAAGTATCCACCCATTACAGTTACAATTTTTACTTTTACTGGTCTAGACCATTTACTTCCTGTACATTATTATCTACACTCAGAAAGTAGGCTTCTGCAAATATTGTCATGAACTAAACCCAGTAAATGTCAGCACTTTAAATGGTACCCACTGCACTGTTGCCATTCACAACCTGACTAAGTTAGCTTTACACTAATTTAAACATTCTACAAGATGGCCAAAGGGGGAGAAATTCATTTTAAGTTCCTCCTGCATTTTTTTAAAAATCAGAAGATTAAGAACATGGCGGAATCCTCAGGTCAGCAGAGCTGGTTATCAATGAGCAGAGTATCCCAGAGCCTGGAATCCATTAACACAGAGCGTATCCCCACCACCACATTCTCTCTCACTCTAAGATTATGGTCTGGTACCCACTGTGGGTTTCTTTACACTACAATTAGAGCCCTGGGCTGGCCTGTGGTATCTGATTCTGACTAAGGAACTGTTTAATTGTGATGTTGACACTTGGAATCATACTGCAGCCAAAGCTCTGGGACCCTCCCACCTTGCAATATCCCTAGATCCTGGGAACCAGTCTGAGTAAAAACCATCTACACTGCAATTAAGCAGCCCCTTAACATAGGCCAGGGTCAGCTGGCATGAGCCAGCCACTGGCTTCTAATTATAGCATAGACACACCCTGACAGCTCTGAGCTTCCACTATTGCTTTAAATCCGTGGTCACCAACCCGTCGAACGGGAAGCCCCAACCAGTCAATCACGAGGCGTTCGGGACACCCCCCCCCCCCAAAGAAGCCTCACTACCTACCTCCAGCAACGAGGGAGGTAGTGCTGGCTTCCTGTGGGGTGGATGGAAGGCCAGCAGCTGCGCGCCACTTCCAAGGTTTGAGGAAGTGCGCAGGCTGCTCCCCCTCCCCCAAACAGACAGCGCCATACCACAAAGCAGGTCTGTGGCGCGCCAGGGACTCTGCATGGGGGGGGAGGGGAAAAGGAAGGTAGGAGTCCCCAGAGGAGGCGCGCGCCAGAACTTCCCTTCTCAAAACAGGTGACCCCTGACTCAAAACAGGTTCCCTGCCCTTCTCATAAATAAAGACAAAGCTGAAACCTTTTGTGTTTGAAATAATATTTTATTTAAAAATGAAGCCTGGCCAACAAACCCCCAATTGGGGTCAAGCCCCCATCTGGCCGCAGCATTATAACACTCCTGTACCACCACCACCATCCCCGACCCAAGATCTGAGCCTATCATATACTGGAACCCCTTATCCTGAGCCTCTCATATCCCCAAACCCTCAGTCTTCTGCCACAACACTCCTGCACCATCCACACACAGCCCATCTTACTCCCAACCGCCCTACTCTGAGCCCCTCACATACTCCAATCCAAACTCCTGCACCCTCACATCCACAAGCATGTGGCTTGCTCATTACCCCAACTACAACACTTCCCATCCTGGAGCCTTCTCCCTGAGCCATCCTGTCACAACCCAGTGAGGGTATGGCTAGACCGCAAGAGTTTTTCCGGGATTCCAGAGGTATCCTGGAAAAACTCTTCTGTGTCCAGGGATGCGTTTGTTCTTCCGCTTTTTTTTAGCGGAACAGCAAACATGCTCTTTCTGTAACCTCTGTATTCCTCATTCCAGGAGGAATAAGGGGGCTTCCGAAAGAAGGGGTTTTTCGGACATTTGGCCCATTCTAGACAGAATCGAAAAAAAAGCGGCAGTGTAGCTGTACCCTGAGAGTGTATAAGGACTGGGTCTAGCAAGTGATGGAGAGGAGGAGAACAGAGGGCTTCAAGGAGGGGGTGGGGTTTTGGGGGAAGGATGGGGTGGTAGATCTTGGCTTGTTCTGACATTTAAAAAGTGATCTTGGACGTAAAAAGGTTATTTTACCACTGCTCTAAATTAATCTGGTGGCAGACATTCCCTCCCTGCGTAGGGGCCTTTTGACATTTACTAGGTTTAAACACATTAGCCAGCCTTCTCACTGACTCCCTTAAATAAGTCAAAAGCTCTCCAGCATTGCACCCTCAAGAACAAATGAACTAGAAGTACTATACATAGCAGTACACACCTGCAAAGCTAGATCCACTGCTTCCTCATATAACTCCATCACTTTGTAAACATGGACACAGGCTCGGTGGTGTCCGTGCTCTGCACACAGCCGAAGCGCATACTTCAGGTCATAGTGGATCCTGTTAGGGTTGGTTCCTGCTTGTTCTAGGTACGACAGCAGCGAGACTGGCCGACACAAAGCATAGAGAGACAACAGATAGTTGTGAATGGCTTGCTCCGTTTCTTCCAGCTCACACACACAGAACTCCATGTATCGAATAGCTTCACTGATCTGTTGGGTGCTTTCACTTTGACTGTAGTTGACGAGGGCAGGTATGAGCTTCCTGGCATCCAGTTTTGTGCCCATGGAGATCCAAGCATCAACCACCTTCTTGGGGATGTGCTGGATCAGGACCGGAGAGAACTTGTAAAAGAGCTTTTCATCCCTGTGTCTGGACAGAACATTTAAGGCTTCATCATAGTCATCATGTTGGCAGTGATGGGCTACCACTCTCTCGTAGTCTTGCATAATAACTGAAAAATAGACCATGTGTTCTGTGTCCCCGTGGCTTGCTAGCAGCTCATAGATGGACACTCGGTTATTGAACAGACACTCTTTGTTTTTGGGGCTGCTCAGGAAGCTGCAGAACTTCTCCCGAGTCTCCTCATAGAGATTCCTTTTGGAGGCGTCACCCTCCAAAGCACCTAGCCGATTCAAGTAGAGCTCTGTTAACCAGGTGGTCAACAAGGTTGTCTGGGTCTTTTCAGAAGACTTTAAGTTGGCCAGTTTCTTAATCAGAAACTCCATCAATGCCTCCTCTTGTTTGGCTTCAATGAACTTAAGGGCAATCTCCTCAAAGTAATTCTGGGTCAGTGCATAACACTTGGCACTATCCAAGTACCTCTTGTTTTGAAAGGAGTGTTCTGCCTCTCTTGCCAACACAATATCTAGGCACTCAGGACGGTCTTTGCAGTACTCTTTGGCCAGATCAAACTTGTTAATGTTCATATACATCTTCCATACATCTCTCGATTCCCGTTGTACGTGGTAGCGGAATACAACTTTCTCTGTGTGGATCCAGACCTGCCCGACTGTGGGATCTTTGATCATGCGCTTCAAAGAGCCAAATTTCTCCAAGAACACATCTTGGAAGACAACCTGCCCATTCAGAGTGCACACAGCTATCACTTTGTCAGGCAGTAACAGCAGGAAGTGGAATTGGGTGAGAACTATGGAAATCGGCTTGTTAGCTGACACATCCACGTCAGAAGGATACTCCCAAACCCGTTCATCACTCAGAATAGAGTCAGGCCGTCCATAGTCCAACGTACCATACAAGACACCATTTCCCATCATCCAGGCAAAGGACCGTGGGGAGGAGCGCAACTTTGGGGTATAAAATGCTATTTCGCTGTAGCCAAAGCTGGCTGGGAACTCTCGAAAGCTGGGCAAGTGGTCTACATGCATGCCAAACACAAAGCCAAAGCCCTGCTGCTCTGTCCCCTCAAGCGCTTTGCCCGCAAACTGGAAGAGTCTTTTACAAGTAGTGGCAATGATGAAACATTTCCCATCGAGCACTCTCTCTATTTCCAGACAGCAGACTGGGGTGGGCCCTGCCTCCTCCTCCAAGGTATAGACCAGACGGAAATACTGGTCTGGATTAGTGCTGAAGAAGCTTCCCTCGCTGACAGAGATCTCAGCCTCGTATATTTGGCCCTGGGCTGTTCCCACCAGGATAGGACCAGTGTTCGTCTCTGAACCCAGGAACTTATTCCAGCCCACACATTCAACCAAGTGACCTTTCCAGCGGGAGAGCGCCCGCACCTTCTGAGCGCTTCTGTTCAAATACAGGCATTCACTAGTGTTCAGTGCAATCACAAGGTGAGATCCTACAAAGGTATAGAGCAAGAAAAAGATGATTAATGAGCACAGGGTTAAAGGAAACACCACAACCCAGACAGCACCACTACTGTAAGCAAGACTTCTGGTTGTTCCCAGAGACACACAAGACAAAACACAATTCAAGATGCTAGTGATCCCCCAATAATTTGAATTCAGAAGGAGCTGGGGATTGCCATATTGGCTGAGATCAGTGATCCATTTCACCTAGTATCACAACTGATAGCAACTAGTCCCAGCTATTTCAAAGGAAGGTGCATGAACCCCTATATGACCAACTCTGGAATAAATGACCCATAAAGTCCAGGTTGCTAGTTACTGTCATTAGGTTTTGTGTTTTATAAGTGTTTCATCCCAGCTAGAGTTAAGTGTGGATATTGCATTTATAATCCTATTTAGAATTCTGCTAAGCTCCTGACTTCAATGGGCAATGGGCTCCAAAAGTTAGATGTACATCGTCTAATAAGACTTTTCTTTTATGAACTGTAATAAAGTAACTCAAGTCAGCCCACATCTGTCAGTGGTTTATATACACCAAAATGTATGGAGAGAAGCACAGTACTCTTTCTCCAACACTTGGCTACTAAATAGACAGAGATCCCGGATAATAATTAGGTGCTCTGAGTTTATTCCCCTGGTGAATCATGTATTCCTTCCACACACAGAATAGAAACCAGAAGTCCTTTAGTTAAATGTTCATTTAACGTGATTATTGCATTTGTTGTAGATATTAAACAGCATTCTGCAATTTCCCTTATACCGTCACCTCACCTGTGTGATCTAAAAACATCTTGTAGACTCTGGCTTCATCCTTGCGTCCCAACTCCACCTGATTAGGTTCATCTGCCTTGCCAAGATCAATCCTGCATGAAGGAATGACAAAGCAAATTACCAAGACTCAGGAGGAGGCCCATGTAACTATGGAAACAAAATTATACCTTTCTCTTTTACAAAAGACCATGAAGCCGTACCTAATTTAGAGACAGGAGTTTCCAAGCAACCATAAAACAGACTGTGATGGCTTTAGGTCTTAAAAAGTATGAGTTACCTGAAAAGGGTGTCTCTGCCAAGGCTCATACAAAGCTGATTAGAGGAGACCACTAGACTGTTAATTTTCTCTGGAGGAGTGAAATCAATCCTTTGCTTGTTAAATATTGGTGTCTCCTTCTCCAGCCGAGCATTCACAAATCCTAGGAAAAAGCAAAATCCAAATGCAGATCAGAAAAGAGACAGTATCACAGTGCAACCTAAAATAAGGAGCAGAAACAAGGAAGAGCTACAGGAAAGTGAAGCAGTCCATGGTAGCATCCATCCTTTTCTCCCAGGTACATGTTTGCAGATACAGAACAAGTCTATTCTCCTATTCTGCCACAGTGCAGCTATTTTTCACTTGGCACAAACTTAAATAAACACAGCGAACCCTTTTGAAGAAACTGCACATTATAATTATATTACATAAAAAGCTGATGAAGAGAATGACAAGAAAAAAATGGTTAACTAGTGGAAAATCAGGTTATTTATTAAAATGATGAAACTGTTGTGGTGCTGTACAGGACACCAAGACAGATGGTGTCTGCTCCAGAGTTTACAGTCTAATGAAAGATTGAAATCAGAAGTGGTATTAGTTGAAAATGTTTCATTTGGTGGGATAAAATTAATTTCTCTCTTATTCAATCTAGCACTAACCACACAAAAGAAAATACAGAAGTTGAGATTATTCAAAAGATTAATTTTATGGAAAAATGTAACCATTGTTAATCATTTAATTGCCACAAAAGAAATACAGTTAAGTG